CAGACAAGGCCAGGTCAGGACAAATTATGGAAATGAACATTGTTTCATTTATCCTATTTGTATGCGTTCCCTATGCTACTGCCAAGAAGCAGAATTTATAAAATGTTTGAAAAGAAGCAATGTGAGCATCCAATTGCAGGATGAAAAATGTGGATTTCTAAATGTTTTATGTTTCACACCTCACAAATGTATATTTTTTATCCTTATGTTAAAAACAAGATGAAACATGGAAAATTTGGGAAGTGACCCCTTTACAAACCTTTGAAAGTTCTATTTCTTTTACAGTTCAAGAAACCGGAGTAGCTGATTTTCCTGGGCACTTGAAACCACAAACCTCTTCTGAATTTGTCTTCTCTCCACCTTCCACAAGGACGAGGAGACTAAGATCTGCTTTCATTGAATCTGTGAAAAATGAGGTGCGTCATGTCAATATAAAAATATATCTTACATATTTCAGATTGTAAAGATTTGGCACTTTTTTTTATTATTCTTTATTTTTGCAGTGCATAAGATAGTTACACACAAGCCTGAGGTACCCCAACGGCAATCCTCTGGCCCCATATCAAGCTTTACATTTAGTGTATTAGAGTGAACATGCACAATTTTTATAATATAAGAAACATGAGTAGAAATAAGAAACAAGCTGAACTTCTGTGTGAACTTAGGTAGAGTTGAGTCAAATAAGAATTTGTTTGTAAAAGTTGATTAAAAATGGACTCGCTAGAACTTGTCTGTAACCATATTAGAGTCTTGTACATGCTTAACATAGCTATGGACAGGGGTATATCTCAACAGTCAAGAATGTGTTAGCCTAAGTGTCTCAGACCAGGCGTATCAGGTGTGGGGTTCGGTAGGTTGGGCTGCTACATGTTAGGTGAGGTATACATATCACTTATAAAAACAAGATATAAGCATTGCTTAGTTGCACTCTATATATGGTAAGATGTATAAAACCTGTCTAGTCAGGTCCACCTGGCTGCCATTTATAATACCAGCTAGTTGCAAGAATCATATAATGTGACGTTAGCATGCCAAGCGACCGACCTGCAAAATACTACAAGCTATATGTACACATCTGTTTTCAGAGGAGATTTAACTTGTCTGCATGAGTTTTGCTATATATTACAATATGACTACACATTGTAAACTTGCAAGCGTTTTTAACCTGCGTTATGTGGAGAGAGAGTTCTCACATTGTGAACTGGGTTGTAAGCTGTGGTCCGCATAGCAAGTCAATCCATACTGTTTCAGCCAATGCCCAGTCTGAAGGCAGTGGTGGCTTGCATGGAAAGGATGACTGTGAGCCTCCCCAGTATCCAATGCTTCCACTTGAGCTTTACAGTGCAGTCCGGGTGGGGCACACCTCCTGCTCGGGCACCTTCTGAGAGCTGGTACCACTGTTCCACGGACTTGTCTCTTTTCTGGGGCTGAGTCCTTCCCTGATGTGGGGCTGTGTGGAGCTGCATGCTTCTGCTGATGTCTTGCTCTCCTTCGCAGACGTGGAAGGTGAGTAGGGGTCGCCCCCCAGGTGGCTGTAGTCCCTGATGAGCCGTCAGCATGATAGTAGGTAGTTCCGTTAGTTACTTTGCCCGGTCGGTGCCCCTCCGACTTCACCTCTGTTTTTCGCGATTCAGAGGACTGATCCTTGGCTGGCTGTTGAGCCGGTGGTGCACTGGCGACAATGCTGACCTGTGTTGGAGCTGATGGCTGACGCCTGTTCTCCAAGCGTTCCCAAAATTGCCTGCATATGGTATCAAATCTTGCCTGTAAGGCTGCTTCCCAGTCACTGGGTGTTGATTGCTCCGTGTGGGGAGTAGTGCAGTCGGACATCTTGGTTCTTTCTGCTTCAATAAATTGTCATTAGGGCAGTGAAATTCTGCTTTAATTGCTGTATGCAATAGGAGCTGCTAAGGTTAGTGTCCTCTAAGCTCTGCAGTCAGGCCCCGCCCCGAGATTTGGCACATTTAACTTAATTTTCTACAAAAGTGAGATATTTGCACAGGCAAGTTTTGTGTCCTGGAATTTTGCTATGATACTTGTATAAAGGAAATGATTATGCAAAATATTAATGCATTCTTTTTGAGAATATAATTAAAACTTATGACACACCATGTTTAACTAGAAATTTAGAAGAAAAAAATAAAACTATTCCTCACCCATATTGTTTTTCTTAAACCCCTTTTCATGTGTGTGTTACTCTACTGCCGTGCACACTACAACAGAAGGTACCGTTAACTCATTTGTCAAACCTTATAGAGGATAAGAAAGATCCTCTACTGTGGTCTGTAAGGTTATGCTACTCAGTGACTGGGGGGAGGAGCTCTCAGATCACTTTATAGCCTGCGTGCACCCATTATTGAATACTTTGTGAAGGACAGCACCACTAAGCCACGCTCCTATAGAAGTTCTAGGGGGCTGTCTGCACCAAACTCCTGTAAGTCACCAAGGTGTTTTGCCTGCCCAAGGACACTAAAATAGAACAGAAGCAGAAAAAAAATAGTTTTGTATTCTGAAAATAGAGCAGTTATCTAAAATATATATTGCTCAGTGTCCAAATGTTGCCATTTAAGAGTATTACATAAATATTTTTCCTACTTAAAAAAAAATGTTATTTCTTCACAGGTCGTGAAACTCCCCAAGCCCCGTAAAACTGGAAACACTGCTGAAGAGCCTGTTCTAAGAAAGAGAGGCAGACCACCAAAGGACAGCAAGTATGTTTCTTTACTCCAGGCAAAATCTTGTCCATTTTAAAATTCATACTGGTATTTTATACAAAGACTGACTTAGTTCCCGAAATTTCTATGCCTGGTTGAAAGTAATTTTGTGCATCAGCACATGTATTCTTAAATAAAAATGTCTTACATTACAAAATTACAAGTATTGTAAGCAGTGTTGTATATCAAGGAAAAGATCCTTCAGTTTCAAACATGACATCGCGTCACTTCACTGACACCTGCTCTTTGTAAAGGCTCGTTTCGTTCACGGAACTGTACGCTTTTGTTGGGTGTCTTAAAACAAGAATGGATCTTCCATCTAAGTATGAAACAACCATTTAGACATGCACAGTCTAATAATTGACAGGTTCACTTGTCAATAGCACACAGGGTTCATAATGTTACTTGTCTTTACTTTTAGTAATGTTTGTTTTATACAAAAAAATTGCAATTTCTGGCCCATTAGCAACACAGCTTCCATTGTGCATGTCCAGCAAATAGATTTGATAAGCACAATGGTAGGTTTTTTCCCTTATTTGTTGTGATAAACTGTATTCTATTGCCAAATAGTCAGACACATTTTTGCCAACCACGTTTTCTGTAACAGGTTTTCTGAATGTTTAACCCCTTAAGGGGTTCTTCAAATATATTTTTACATAATAAAGTCGTTTTATTAATTACAATTTGAGGGACCTGCCCGACTACCCAGGCTGAAAGTCCAGAGAATTTGTCTCGCAAGCCTTATATTTAACCCTGTAACTGCAAGACACCATGAAACCTGTACATGGGGGGGTACGGTTTTACTCAGAGACTTCGCTAAACACAAAAATTAGCGTTTAAAAAAAAAAAAAACAAGTAAAACATATCACAACGATGTCATAAAAATGTATTTTTTTTGCAGTAATAGCCAACAGTATTAGCACATTCACAGTTAAAATGCCATGCAGAACTAAAAAAATAATTTCTTATTTTCTCACTTTTTTATATTTTATTCATATTAAATTATGCTTAATATACATATATTTGATGCGACATGAAAGCCCTATTTTTCCTGAATAAAATGATATATAAGTGTGCGTACACATAATACACATAATATGAAAGAGGTGAATTACACCTGAACAGACGTATAGCGCAAATTCAAAGTTTTTTTTTGTTTTTTTTTTGATCACTTGTACAATTGGTTCAGTCCTTAAGGGGTTAATGGAATCCTTTAAATACCTTCTACCCAGGTATTTGTACTGCTAGAGCCGTTGTGTCCAAGAGGCCCCCAGCTGTTGTGAGACAACTTCCTCAATCCTGTGCCAGAGTCTGCTCTTAAAAAGGCACTATAAGTAACCTATGTTGTAAAATAACCTATGTAGCTGGGTGTAGTGGTTATAGTGCCTAGAATCTCTGGGTGCCATCCCCTGGTAGCATGTGAAACTGTTTAGAAGTAACTTGATTCAGACCAGGTCTATCCATGGCACTTAGAGCCTGTCCCTCCTCAGCCTCATTGATGATGCAAAATTACCACTTCTCTAGTATCAATGTTATTTTCATCTAACTTGGAGTAATTGAGAGTGCATGGTCGGATTAGTCCAATGCTATCATCCTTTCAATATTGATCATAATTGCCTCTTGACCTTGCTTTACCTGCCAGCTAGAAAATATATAATGATATAAAAGTCTAATTTGCTTATTTTGTAAAACTTCCTGTTCTGAAATTAATTTCCTTGTTTGTGTTTGTTGCAGATCAAAAGCAAAGGCGTCTTGGTCTCCTCCACCAGTGGAAATTCAACTGCTTTCACCGCCCAAAAATGCAGATACTATTGCTGCAAATGCGAAGTCTGTGGCCATTGAATCAACTGCCACAGAAAAGAAAACACTGAAGAGAAATAAGAGAAAAATAGTAATATCAAAACCTGTCTCGCGCCGGAAGCTGAGATGATCTGTTTTATATTGTTTTTAATGTGCACATATGTTTATAAAGTCAAGAACTCTGTATAATACAGAAACCAAAACTGGTCAACAAGAGAATAATTTATATAAATTATTGAAAATGTTCTTAAATAAACATAAATTGAAATCTTACTCCATGTGAAGTAAAGATTTTTTTTTTTTTTTCTGTAGGAGACATTTGTTTTCTATTTTGTATTAAGAATTCTTACCTTTATATAATATGTAATTATTGCTTTCAAAATGTTAAATAAAAATAACTAAGACTTTGCATCATTTAAATGTTTTATATTTTTCATATAAAGGCATATACTGTGTTTTGTTATTTAAAAAATAAAAATGGGGGGCGGGGCCTGACTGCTGAGCGGACGCAGGAAAGTGCTGCTCCTGCTCTTCCAGGCAAACTTTGCCGACTATAAGCCACAAAGATGCCTTAAAAACCACAAGTGGGCCACTAACCGTGAGGTGACATCAAGGGGCACATAATGGCACCAAACAAGCAGCCTACCCTGCAGGAATCACTGATGCGACACTCAAGGCCTACACACGTGAATGGCACGGGGGAGGCAGCTGCTGCCCACAAAGGCTACAATCTTGAACAAGGGCCCCCGTTTCCCTCCCTATGGACAGATGGGGGTTATTTCGGTCCCAGGGGAGCCCCACCGAGCTGACTGGCAACGACCTCAGGCAAAACTCGCTGACTACAGAATGGCGGAGACCGCCATCAGGCAGAGTGACTTCACTCTAGGGCTCGACTTCCAAGCACGGCTGCATGTCATATTCGCAGCATTCTGGTGGAAAATGGAACAGAGAGAACGGCAGGCACGTACACAGACCCCAGATGGGTGCTCATCCGTAACACTGCCCTCTTGCTCTAACCTGAGAGGCTCACATGCCCCGACGAAGCAGACCTATAGACAGCGCCATACACGACGACGATACTCACCTGCTAGCAAACGCACGGGCCCATGCAAAGAAGCGACTGTTACCCGACTACACAAAGCGAAATCCCGGTCCAGCGTACAGCCACCGCCATACATGGGAACCCGTAAAAATCTACACTTCTACTCACGTTGGTTTGCAAAGACAGTGATGGGGTCCCATCGGGCCCCGCCGGACAGGACCAACTCCAAACATCCTCAGACATACCCTCAAGCCAACGAGCAGACAGGTGTGATACCGGAACTCCCTACAGAGCCCCCTCGGGGCATTGGCTGAACTTAGCATAAACTATGCTCTTACTATATTTCTAGTTACTTCTCAGCATTCGATATTTCTGTTATTTCTACACGTTGTGGGACTCAAGACTGTTTAAAAGGGTCTAGGGCCCAGGATATCCTATCAGACAAGCCCCCCATAGTCATATTGAAGACAGACTGTAAGCCATCTAAGCGGACTGCATATTCCACCCCATAACTGCTCACACTTACCTATAACTTGACCACCAACGTGTAGGGGGGCTTCCCTGATAACACCAATATTGTTAACCAGGTTATTCATCCTGCAATTTAGCATAAACTAAACTACTGTACCTTATACATTAATAATCCATAGTACTTGTCAGTTCAAACGGCATGTCATGTTATATATTACTTTAGACCAGGGGTAGGCAACCTTTTAACAACACTGTGCCGAAATAGGATTGTGATATTCCGTAGCGTGCTGGTCCTATTTTTTTTTAAATTGAGGTGTGTATGTTGCCATATTCTGCTTGTTACTTATACTGCAGTTGCTTTGTATTGTTGTATTTGTGCATATATGAGCGATTACATTGTATATGTTCATGAGTAGAAAAGGAACAGAGTGTATAGGGTGTTGAAATTATTCAACTCCCCAAACTCTGTAGAGGTTACAAGAGGTATAGGGGGCTTAACCCCAACAAACTATGAGAAAAAAGAGAAGAATGAACTGGAAGACCACCAGAGTAGAATACAAAGGTGGAACACCTGTTCATTCAAAAATCTATACCTCTCAAAAATATATGTACTATATATAGCGGGTACTAGGACCTTTAATAGAAAAAGACATACACATAAAGATTATATATATAACTGGCCTAATCGGTCATAAAAGGAACAAAGAGGATTAAATAAGAGAAAAATAAAGTAAAAAAAGCACAAAGGAACTCAAAGTGAATGCATCGGCATTGCTAATTTGCTCGACGCGCGTTTCGGCGTAACTAACTGAGCAGCTCTTGACAAAGTCGAGCAAATTAGCAATGCCGATGCATTCACTTTGAGTTCCTTTGTGCTTTTTTTACTTTATTTTTCTCTTATTTAATCCTCTTTGTTCCTTTTATGACCGATTAGGGTCTATTTAGGCAGATGGGAGCTGGGGTATTAGGGACAACCTTTAGGCTGCCTTGAAGCAGCAGATAGAAGTAACTATCTCCCTGGTAATTTGGGAGTCAGCTAGCAGTTCAGGGCCAGCTGGGGTATATTTATGGTGCATTTTGATGTTCTTGGCAGCAAACATTATTGGCTATCAGCCTAACATTCATATTATTCATATTGCACTCTGTTGATACATTTACCCTTATTTGCAACGGTCTCACCACGTCTGGGGACACGTTTACTATCAGGGTATCCCTTTTCATTTACCCTATATTTACCCCTCCCTCTTCCCCTCCCCCCACCCCTCTCTCTTCCCCTCCCCCCACCCCTCTCTCCCCTCTCTGCCTCTTTATCAAGTCCTGGATAAATCTGCTGTGTATACATAATACCTTTTATTCGGTTTTTTCTATAACAGTGCTTTCTATGCCAGGCAATTTATAGAACTTACAAACGAGGACTTTTTCTAGTTAATTTTTGTGAATACTTATTTCACTCACTTTAAATATCCCTTAGGGGAACCCTTTTCTGGCAATTTTTTATAGCCAGTTATATATATAATCTTTATGTGTATGTCTTTTTCTATTAAAGGTCCTAGTACCCGCTATATATAGTACATATATTTTTGAGAGGTATAGATTTTTGAATGAACAGGTGTTCCACCTTTGTATTCTACTCTGGTGGTCTTCCAGTTCATTCTTCTCTTTTTTCTCATATGTTCATGAGTAGTTTGTTGTATCATGTATTATACCTATGAATGTGGGCTGTATATGAGGGCTGCTTGTGGAATTGTGTGTGTGGGTACATATGCCACATGGTGTGTTTGGTAGTGTGTTTGTGTGGGGCTGCTTGTGGAATTGCATGTGAGAGACTGCATGTGGGTTTGTGTGCCTGTATGTGGATTGTGTGTATGTTTGTGTGTAAGCTGTTCATATTATTTGTATGAGGAGAGGGTTATTTTACATTTCTGTGTATGTCTAGCAGTGTGGGTGGCTTCCCTGGGTTCCAGTGGGGACCAGGCTGGCCAGGTACATGTCAAGGACAGGAGCTGCAATAGCAGCTGCGGGCTGTTCTACTCCAGTGTGGATTCCCATTCACAAGTGATGGAATGATGTGATCTGAGATTACGTCAGCGGTGGGAAACGTCTGACCCACAAAATCATTTGGACCGGCCTGTGGAGAGCCAGCCCTGCTGTCTGCTTTTTTCAGGCCGGTGGGGAGATCAAAGATCTTCCTCACCGGTCTCCGGGCAGTTTTTAAAGCGAGAGGCAGGGAGTTTGGACCTGGGAGCCTGCTGGACAGGAAGAGGATCCGACAGCGCTGTTTTCGCAGGAAGAAAATAGTGAAGTCAGCCTGCAACCAGAGGAGCTGCAGGCTAAGGTGCACACAAAACTACTGGACCACTAGGGCTTGCAGTGACCAGAGGAAGGAAGGGTGGGATGTAGTTAAACATTGCTGAAATAATAATAGTTATATTTTCTGAAATGATGCAATTTATTTTTCTATTTCCTATTTGTATGGCGATAACAGTGTCTGAATTGACACAAACATAAAAAGCCCAGTGAAGGCAAATACAATTATTAAATATAGGTTCCATACAATTTCGGGGTTTCTGACATAACGATTTACTGTACAAAGATTACTAAGAAAATAGTTAAGATCCATGGCATAAAATGATGGTGTGCACAAAGAAAACAAGCTTTAAACATATGTTTTTTTTAACAGAAAATAGATGTTTAAATGCGTGACTCTCACAGGAGACATGCATAGTTTTCTTTTCCTCTTTTTAAGGAAAAGAAATGGATTTTCTCCCTGATCCCCCAACACAATATAGACCCCTGACACTACACCACCACACACATAGAACCCCTAATACACACACTGCACCCCACCCCCCCCACACACAGAACCCATAACACAAACACTGTACCCCCTCACACACACACACACACACACAAGCACACCGCAAGTAGAAACATCATCAATACGAGCTAACATCACACCAAAGAGAAGCAGTTCCAGCCATGTCATTAGAAGTGAGTTAATAAAATTTTTGACCAAATACAGCAGGTTAATTTTTAAGTTGATAATTTTGTATGGCCCGCGAATGAGGTTTTAAAATAAACAAATGGCCCTTGGCAGATAAAAGGTTCCGAATCCCTGCTCTATGTGCTGTAATGCATATATTGAGGATTGCCCTTCACCACCTTTTTGTATTAGCAGATATCTGAAGTTTCCTTGGGACTCCTGATAGGCCAGAGCCTGTTTGGCTCTAGCAGCCTTGAGTGCCGTAGGTTGCCTACCCCTGCTCTAGACAATAGTGCTATTTACTCTTGTAACCTCAACTATTACAAAAACAAAAGTGCTGCATATCTTGTCATTTACAATACCTGCTATGTCATTCATCAATGTTGCCGTATGTTATTTACTCTGCACTTTGAAAAATAAAGAATTAAAAAAAATTAAGAGGGGGAGCCTGACTGCATAACCAAGCGGACGCGGGTTGCAGTTGTTTCTGCAAGCTATTGCAAATTCTATTGAACCAACCCGAACCAGAGCTGATACCGGGCCCAAGCAGGTTGCCAGATGACAGAGGACCTTGTGACATTTCTGCAGATACCACACAAGTGGATGTCCCGGTCTGCTCTATAACTTCTCGAGGCTTAGAAGCATGGGCGACACGGGGGAGACGGCCACTGCCACGATTCTCGACTGAACCTGTACAGAGCCTCCGTTCCCTCCTCTCCCCTCCAACCTGGCTCATACGCTACCACCAGCACCTGAGGCCCACACTCAGACCGCATGGGGCCTAGCAAAATGGCGGCTGCCGACCACGCTACTGGACCAGCCCTTCCACAGACGCCTGGGAGAAGCTGGAGCAGCGCACAGCCCCTTACTCATGACAGGGTGGTGGAGCCAGCATAGGTCGTGTGCCGGAACTGGCTAATCCTCCAGGAGATCCCCTCCAGGACATCAACTACATCGCAGGAAGGCCATCTGCCACTGGCGGATTACGACCACCAGGACCTTCCACAGCGCTCACAACGGGAGAGAACCGGCCCCGCAGATAGTCTGTGACCAAAGGATGTCGACCTCACACAGAGCTTGGAGCTGGGGAAAAGCCCCCACCACACGCAACCCTTCTTCGCCCCCTCAAAATCCATGGATGCCTGCTCTTACTATGCCCAGCAGAGGAATCTGCTGATACAGGGTCCCAAGAAACTTGGTTTGCAGGGATGACATACAGACTGAGCCACTAAAGCTGACTTGAACTCTACCATTATTTCATTGCACTTATGTAGACCATTTCTTGCTCAGCCTCCTGGAGACACACTGCTCACAATCTGCCCTGTCGGTAAACTAGCACCACAACCATAACCCCCACAAGTTAATCTATGTAGGCTGAACATGGCAGCATTAGGGAACTACCATACATGCACATGCATGTAGCGTGCCAATCCCTGTGCCACATGCGCAGCATAAAAGCAGGACTATCGGGTCTCAAGGTTGCCACCACAGGCTGCAGGTGCCCACAGTCACTACCTTAAGGGCCACACTTCATGTACCATCTTCCTCTATTTTAATTCCATTTCATGTATATAAGTTGAGTCTATGTCTTGTTTTTCATATGCATATATAATGGCACAGGAGCCACAGGTGAGCCACTTAGGTGGATATTAGCATGTAACCCACATGGGTCTGCCTTTACACCTATTCAATATTGCCAACTGCATTTGACCTCAGATTATACTCTGCTTGCCTTTATTTGCTTGTTGGCTCTTAGTGTTTGTTTGCATCTTACTGCCCTAGGAAGCAGATTCTTTTTAATCTTACTTATGAGGCTGGCGGTACACCATTAGTGTCCTTCAATACCATATCTTATGTTCTTGATAAAGTCTAGTTTAAGCAACGTAGGCAGAGATGTCTAGTTAGGCAATGTTTGAATGCCTTTGATTACTCTTGCACACTTCATAATCACTATATGTTTACTATCTCAAGCATGATGACACCAACGTGACCCACCACAATAGACATACATAGTTAGCCTGTATTTAGCTTGTCTTATAAAGTTTATAAATTGTGCTTATAAAATGTTAACTTGTGCTTGTTCTCCAATTGCCTTTAAATGCTGTTGTGGCATTGCAAGCATTCTTCTGTTATCTCATGCTCAGCAAAAATAAAGAATTAAAAACAAAGTCCATACCTCTGACAGTGGTGGCTAACACCCCACAAGACCGTTGCCTTGTAATAAGAAAATTAATATTTTGCCAGTGATAAAAGTGAGCTACTGACATGGTTTCCCCATGGGAACAAAACAACTTTACCATAATAAAGTGGTATTGAACCATACCCCTGCAATCTTACTAATCAATGTTTTGCCATTTAATAATTAAGTTCCTTTACTTATGCAGCCCTCGTCACACCTCAGGCTGAGGCTCAAACTTCTTTTTTTAGAAACTGTAGAGAGGCTGTTTTTATTACACTGTTTAATGAAGGAATTTTGATGATCTGCTCTGTTACCAGCCTTCTAAAGTAAACACATTGTGCTGTGACATCTGATTTTAAATTTTACTTTTTTTTTTTCTTGGAGGCTGTGAAAGTTACACTGAGGGAGGTGTGGCTAGGTCTTCTTAAACTAAAACAAAAGTGATTATACGCAAAGACTGTTTCATTAATCTAAAGTTGTTTTAGTGTTTCGTGTCTCTTCAAAATGATAAATATACACCATACAGGGAGTGCAGAATTATTAGGCAAGTTGTATTTTTGAGGATTAATTTTATTATTGAACAACAACCATGTTCTCAATGAACCCAAAAAACTCATTAATATCAAAGCTGAATATTTTTGGAAGTAGTTTTTAGTTTGTTTTAGTTTTAGCTATGTTAGGGGGATATCTGTGTGTGCAGGTGACTATTACTGTGCATAATTATTAGGCAACTTAACAAAAAACAAATATATACCCATTTCAATTATTTATTATTACCAGTGAAACCAATATAACATCTCAACATTCACAAATATACATTTCTGACATTCAAAAACAAAACAAAAACAAATCAGTGACCAATATAGCCACCTTTCTTTGCAAGGACACTCAAAAGCCTGCCATCCATGGATTCTGTCAGTGTTTTGATCTGTTCACCATCAACATTGCGTGCAGCAGCAACCACAGCCTCCCAGACACTGTTCAGAGAGGTGTACTGTTTTCCCTCCTTGTAAATCTCACATTTGATGATGGACCACAGGTTCTCAATGGGGTTCAGATCAGGTGAACAAGGAGGCCATGTCATTAGATTTTCTTCTTTTATACCCTTTCTTGCCAGCCACGCTGTGGAGTACTTGGACGCGTGTGATGGAGCATTGTCCTGCATGAAAATCATGTTTTTCTTGAAGGATGCAGACTTCTTCCTGTACCACTGCTTGAAGAAGGTGTCTTCCAGGAACTGGCAGTAGGACTGGGAGTTGAGCTTGACTCCATCCTCAACCCGAAAAGGCCCCACAAGCTCATCTTTGATGATACCAGCCCAAACCAGTACTCCACCTCCACCTTGCTGGCGTCTGAGTGGGACTGGAGCTCTCTGCCCTTTACCAATCCAGCCACGGGCCCATCCATCTGGCCCATCAAGATTCACTCTCATTTCATCAGTCCATAAAACCTTAGAAAAATCAGTCTTGAGATATTTCTTGGCCCAGTCTTGACGTTTCAGCTTGTGTGTCTTGTTCAGTGGTGGTCGTCTTTCAGCCTTTCTTACCTTGGCCATGTCTCTGAGTATTGCACACCTTGTGCTTTTGGGCACTCCAGTGATGTTGCAGCTCTGAAATATGGCCAAACTGGTGGCAAGTGGCATCGTGGCAGCTGCACGCTTGACTTTTCTCAGTTCATGGGCAGTTATTTTGCGCCTTGGTTTTTCCACAGGCTTCTTGCGACCCTGTTGACTATTTTGAATGAAACGCTTGATTGTTCGATGATCACCCTTCAGAAGCTTTGCAATTTTAAGAGTGCTGCATCCCTCTGCAAGATATCTCACTATTTTTGACTTTTCTGAGCCTGTCAAGTCCTTCTTTTGACCCATTTTGCCAAAGGAAAGGAAGTTGCCTAATAATTATGCACACCTGATATAGGGTGTTGATGTCATTAGACCACACCCCTTCTCATTACAGAGATGCACATCACCTAATATGCTTAATTGGTAGTAGGCTTTCAAGCCTATACAGCTTGGAGTAAGACAACATGCATAAAGAGGATGATGTGGTCAAAATACTCATTTGCCTAATAATTCTGCACTCCCTGTACAGTACTGCAATGCTGCAACTTCCCCAGTCCTGTAGTCTTATGCCATTAAAAGTTGATGAACACTGCAAGTCATAGTATACCCTCCAACAGTGAATTCCTATTGACCAATGGCTATTGGTTGGTGGACATTTTGAGCCCTAATTTCCTCTTCTCCCACTACAGCACAAACCGACTCACTGAAGAAGGATGGCTGTCTGGATAAGCTGTCAAGACCACCGTGACATAAGCAAGACTTTAGATTGTTGGTAATAGCTGTCCAACCTGAGAACACCTCAGACATGCTTAGTAAATGCCCCTAGTGTTTTTTTAAATATTCCATTTAATCTTCAGTATGGCATTTGAACTGATTACCCTCTGCATAATACTTAGGTCTTACAATTTAATTATAGCTTACTACTAAGACCGTAGCAAAGGAATAGAAATACCCATGTAATAGGTTGTGAATTTAATTTCTGCATGGGTTTTATTTATTTTTTTCCACAGGCGTAACCTAGTTGTGACCTCTATTCCAATACTATATATGTATATTATCTTAATATAATTAGCAGTTCCTCTTAAAGCACCACTAAAGTGCCTTGAGGGTGCCCCCACCCTCAGGGTCCCCCCTCCTACTGGGCTGAAGTTGGAGGAAGGGGGTTCATCCCTTACCTTTTTCCAGCACCGGGCTCCCTCTGCGCTAGGGACTCTACTCCTCCTTCGGTCGTCATTGGCTGAATGCGCATGCGAGGCAAGAGCCGCGCACGCGCGCATTCAGCCAGTCCATAGGAAAGCATTCTCAATGCTTTCCTATAGACGCTGGCGTCTTCTAACTGTGAAAAAAAAAACTGGGTGCCTATAGTGGTCCTTTAACCCCTTAAGGACACATGACATGTGACATGTCATGATTCCCTTTTATTCCAGAAGTTTGGTCCTTAAGGGGTTAATGAAACTTAGAGATGCTGCATTAATTTCACTTATTGGGTTTCTGTAAGATTGGTGAAGAATTCTTTAAATAGAAAAGCGCTTAATTTGCCATGGAGTTCTATTTATCAATCGCTGGTTTCGTCTATACCTCTGCAGTACTGGGAAGCCCAATTGAGCGACACACACTCTTTGCTGGTTCAAAAAGACTACAATTTTAACTGTCTCACACAATAGTATATGAAATTAGAATTATACATGCCCCTTATTGGATCATCCAATAGAGTACTAACATAGGAAAAGGCTAGAGAGTCACACATTCTTGCAGTCTACAGGATATGGGGGAAAGGGTAAATAAAGTACTAACAGATGGTCACTGCCATACAAAGAATGTATAGGAATGTACAGTCAATGCCCTGTCTAAAATGAACAGAACTTAGCTTGTTGGTCTAGGGGTTTATTCACCAGCATGTTGAAAATCGACATCCATACAAATGTTACATCAATACCCTCCTTTGTTCAGAGTGAACAGAATAAGGACCGAAAAAAATACCTGGGTATGTTGCCATAACTCCAAAATTACCTGGCTTGCCCAGTAATCTGGGGTCAGGAAAAAACAAAGTTTATTATTTTTTCCTGAATGAGAGCCACGACTGTGCATGCCCTGGTCTTCTGCACAGAGCATCTGTCACTTATAAAATCCGGAGGACTAAGTATAATCTATCAAGACTTAAAGGGACACTATAGTCACCCAGACCACTTCAGCTCAATGAAGTGGTCTGGGTGTCAGGTCCCTCAGGTTTTAACCCTTCATATGCAAACATAGCAGTTTCAGAAAAACTATTTGACATTTCCCTCATTGTGCTGCTAAGAGGTAATCTAGGACTGAAGGGTTACTAATCGTATCTGTTCCTGTTCTGCTGATAGAGCTGTAATGGCTTGTAAGGTGTGCTTGAAGGCTTAATCTACAGTATCTACCAACAAATTGAATCTTATGCGTAGGGATAGATATTGTCCATCAGAATCTAAAGCAGAGGTTTTAACCTTTCTCCTAATAGCAGTACACAAACACTTAAATAGACATAAAGACCAGGGCCGGACTGGCCCACCAGGATACCGGGAAATTTCCCGGTGGGCCGTCGGCACCTGGGGCCGGGCAGGCAGCTGGCTCTTCTTGCGGCCGCAGAGGGAGCTCTTTATGCGGCCGTAGGGGGAGCTGTCTGTTCTGTCTCTGCTCCCCTTCCCCAGCGCGCTGCTTAATGAGACCGGGGCCGGAATATGACGTCATATTCCGGCCCCAGTCTCTTTGTAGTGTGCAGGGGAGGGGGAGCAGAGACAGAACAGCCAGCTCCCCCATGCGGCCGCCATCAGAGCTCAGCACACAGGTAGCAATTACGTGTGTCATTGTGTGTGTTTGTCTGTCATGTAATGTGTGTCTGTGTCATGGTGTGTGTGTGTGTCTGTCTGTCTGTGTCACGGTCTCTCTGTGTCGTGGTGTGTGTGTGTCTGTGTCACAGTGTTATGGTGTGTGTCTGTCATGGTGTGTGTGTGTTTCTGTCTGTGTCACGGTGTGTGTGTATCTGTGTCACAGTCTGTCTGTGTCATGGTGTGTGTATGTGTGTTTTTACTCACCTTTATTTATTTTTTTCCCACGTCGTGCTGGTCTCCCCTCGACTGGCCCTGCCTCTACGGCTGAGATCATCAAGCTTGATGATCTCAGCCAATCCGCAGTGACACAGGAAGCACCTCTAGTGACCGTCTGAGTGTCTGTCACTAGGAAGCAATGTAAACACTGCGTTTTCTCTAAAAAGTCAGTGTTTACATTGAAAAGCCTGCAGGAGCAGGCTATAGACACCAGAGCCACTACATTAAGCTGTGTGTGTGCGCGCCT